CAATACATTCTCTTATAACACTTACACAGACAAATTATTTCAAGCACTTTAAAAATTCAGTAGGTGCTTAAATAAATGATTGTTGGTGAAGAGGTAATCATGAAAAGGTAAAATAGCAGCTAAAAGAATGGACTCATTCTATCTGTAAGACATGCTAAAAAAAAAAAAAGAGAAGAAAAAAAGAAAGAAAGAAAGAAAGAGAAAAAAGCCCAGTGGGAGATAAAAAGTGGTTGGTACTTTGATAACACAGACCTCAGACATTGTAACTTCTTTCTAACAGCTACAAATTTCCCCTGCGTGGATACACTACACTTACACATTTATACATTACTCTGTTAAAATACTATTGAAGTATCTGTTGCTTCTAAGAATTTCAAAGGCAATGAATTCTTCTAGCTAAGTATGATACAGATTTGGATCAGTTTGGCTCTGACTACTGCCAATAACAATACTATCTAGCTCCCATTAGAGTCAAGTGTAGCTAAATTCTGGTAAACATTTAATACTTGACAGTTGGTACTCTGCCAACATCAATACACAGGCTGAATCTGAAAATAACAGTCCAAAAAGAGGACACAAGCCAAACAAAGCTTCAATCCAGGAATAGCAGGTCAACCCGCACCTAATTAAGGACATATCGATTCTTCTGGAATGTCTGCTCACTAGCAAGCACCGTGTGTTCCAGCATACAGGGCAAGTCGGCTGCCTCACAGAAGAACAGGGCAGTTTATCATAACTTACAGGAACATTTTTGGAACACAACTTGTTCCTAAGTTAGAAACTTCTGGCTTTTTTATTTTAAAGGAGGTAAGACTATAGGGGGAGAGGATACATGTTCTTACAGAATAAAGATCTTTTTTTTCATGGGCATTTTATTATTCTTATTCTCCCCTACCCCTAAAATGAACAGATGTAGAAATCAGGGCTCCAAGAATGTGAATCTATTTGCCTATCCTGTGTCAACTTTCTCTGCGTTTCCTGTATTACGATTCTTACTCTCTTTGGAGCAGCAGGCTGTCTGCAGCTAAGGGTGCCATGTGACCTCTGGCCAACGAGATGAAGAAGCAGGGGGCTTCAGGCTACTCTTTCCTAACACAAAGAATATCTGGGAAGAGATCTTTCGTCCCTCTTCTTTCCTCTTTCTCCCAGCCTGGAACAGAGCCATTGTAACCAGAAGCACCCATCTCCGTGAGGCTACAAACAAAGAGCCACCTTCTAAGAAAAGCAGCAAGAAGTCAGGTGCCCAAGAAGATCATAAAGCCACTGAAGCACCCTGCCCTTTGGCCATCTCACTACGTGAGGAAAATAAAACCTTTACTTGTCTACCTACTGTAATCAGATTTATTTTGTATGCAGCTAAATGCAACCCTAACTGATACAGACAGGCAATGAGGAACACTGTCAAAGGAGGAGTCCACTATACTTCAATAAAAAAAAAAAAAAAAAGTAAAAGAAAAAAACTGAGACAGGACTTCAAAGACTTAAGCCCTGTACATCGCCTTTATATGTTTGTTTTCTCTTTTTTAAATTGGAAGTCACCATAATTCATCTTTTATACGCTTTCCAGGGGTATTTTGAGTTTGGAATGAATGTCAATACATTTCATAAACTGTGAAAATACTAAACAAATATCAGATATTAATAAGGAGTAGTTAGCTTTTGCTGTAACACTTTGAACTATGTGGCTTTCATAAGAGCTGCTCAGCGTCTTTTCTCATCTATAGAAAATGGCAATAACAACACTTTGCTTTGTCGCAGAGTTATCACAAGCTTCAAATGAGAGAACTTGGGTGTATTTCAAATGGTTAAACACTATCCAAATGTTAGGAATCGTGGAGTTGTGAAAATGGCGTGATGTACTGATTTGCATAGTATTTGTCAGGTTAACTGCTCCACCTTGAGGAACATATCAAACTTCTGAGTCCCATTTTCTCATCCGTAAGTGGGAGTATCAGTAGTAAGTGTATCCTTCCCTTATGAGTTATACTAAGTGTAGCAATACTGCTAAGTTGAGTTACGCTCCAATATCCACTCGCCCTACTTTCCCCGAAGTGACAGAATCCCTGAACTGGATGCTTGGATTCCCACCAAAAATAAAGACTACATTTCTTAGCCTCCCCTGCAGCTGGTTTCAGCTACATTTTGGTCAGTGGGACGTGAGCTGAAGCGATGTGTGCAACTTATAGGTCAAACCCTGAGTGGACAATGTCCTCCATGTCTCCCTTCTGGATCTTCTGCACTGGTGGAATGTGAAAGAAGCAGGGGGCCATCCTCAGTCATGCAGAAGCGGACAGCAAAACTGAGCACAGCAAAAACAGCAAACAAGAGCAGCCTGCATGCCCGGTCTGCCTGCATGCACGCTGTTAGAGAAGGGAGAAATCAACTATTTTGTTGAACCTCTGGTATTTTGGTGCATTTTGTTACAGAGGCCTAAATTAGCGGCCCACCCCGTATCCTAACTTACTCGGTAAGGATTAAAGGAAATATGTGAAAGCAACCCACAAACCATAAGGCAATTATATAATTTATTTTAAGGCACCCTGTCGGCAGTAATGGCCTCAATCTTTTGTAGCTCATCAAACTGTCAACTGTAAAAACTATCTGAATTATGAAAAGAAGATAAAAAGTCAAACACCACAAAGCAGATGTGGTCTTGTAACGCAGAGCCAACACTCAAGTATATGTTCAGCCTATCTCAGAGCAGCTGGAATTTGGGACACAAGGTTATTCTGCAAAGCAAATAAATGTTAAGAGTCATCAAAAATTAACCTTGTCTCCATTTCTGTACACTTGAGAGCCAGATTTTTTTTTTTAATTTTTTTTTTTAACGTTTATTTATTTTTGAAACAAGAATAGACAGAGCATGAACGGGGGAGGGTCAGAGAGAGAGGGAGACACAGAATCGGAAGCAGACTCCAGGCTCTGAGCTGTCGGCACATAGCCCGACGCGGGGCTCGAACCCACGGACCGCGAGATCGTGACCTGAGCCAAAGTCAGCCGCTCAACCAATGGAGCCACCCAGGCGCCCCAAGAGAGAGCCAGCTTCTTTAGGCAGTGGCAGCCACACCACCGACATGCAGCAGAGAAGGCCAGAGTAATCAACAGCGCTGTATGGGCTGTGGCCACAAATCACCACAAACATGGCGGCTTACGAGGAAAGAAACGTATTTTCTCACAGGCCGAAGGGCTCAATGGTCAAAATCAAGATACTGGTAGGGTTGAATCCTTCTGGAAACTCTACGGGAGCATTCATTTCATGCCTCTCTCCTAGCTTCCACCATCTCTGTGCCTTCACCATCCCATCCTCTTATCGCGTGTGTCTCTGTAACCTCAGTTTCTTATAAGGACACTCTCACTATTTAAGGACCTACCCTAATCCAGGAGGACCTCATCCCGATACCTTAATTACACCTGTAAAGACCTGACTTCCAAATAAGGTAGATTCTAAAGTTCTGATGTAATGGGTTTATGTTCCCCAAAAGGTATGTTCAAGCCCTAATCCCCAGCATAGCAGAATCTGACCTTATTGGAAATGGGGTTACTGTGGACGTAATCAGCTAAGATGAGGTCATGACCGGGGAGGTGGACTCTTAATCCAATATGGTGTCTTTGTAAGAAGAGAAGCCACACAGAGCCACGGATACACAGGAAGAATACCGTGAAAAGATGAAGGCAGAGACTGCAGTGATGTGTTCAGAAGCCAAGGAACACCATGGACTGTTGTCAAACTAGTAGAAACTAAGAGAAAAACATGGAAGAATTCTCCCGTACAGGTTTCAGAAAGAGCACTTCTCTGCCAAAACACTGATTTTAAACTTCCAAGCCTCCAAAAACTGTGTTGGACTATATATCTGTTGTTCAAAGACAGTTTGTGGGTTTTTTGTGTTTTTGTTTTTATGGCAACCACAAAAAACTAACACAGGAGTGAAAATGAATTGGAAAGGGGCATTATTCGACCCACTACACTTGGTCAATGCTGGCGCTGGCAAAATGGATACTGTCACCATCAGGAACCTCATCAGAGTGGAGCCAAAAGGACTCTTGATGGGAACTACTGATTCAAAGTATGAGGAGTCCCTTTAGACTGTCAAGGATACCGCTGACACCACTAACTGTCACCCTCAACTTGTACATCATGACAACTCATGGTGTCTTTCTGGACTTGTAACTACAGTCCACGCTATCACTGCTATTCCTAAGACCGTGGCTAGTCTCTCTAGCAAACCATAGCATAATGGCCATGTCCATTATGTGCCACAGTCCACTGGCACTTGCAAGGCTTTGGGCGAGGTCATCCCGAGCTGCACGGAAAGCTATTTGGCACGGTCCTCCACACTCTCAACTCCCAATGTAACCATCACAGATCTGATCTGCCTTCTGCACAAAGCTAACAGACATGACCACATCAAGACAGTGGGAGAGCCAAGGGTCCAATGGAGCTCTGAATGGTGTCCAGGGCTACACGAGGATTAGCCTGATTAGTAAGACTGTCACCATGACACCATCCATTTTTGATGCTGAGGTTGCCAGGTTGCCATTGCCCTTAACCACCACAGTTTCCTGACATGACAACAGATTTGGCTAAGGCCAAATGGTAGATGGTAGATCTACCATCTCAGATGGTAGATCTACCATCTCAGATGGTAGATCTCAGAACCCACGTGGAATCCAATGTATATGAGCCCTGGACCTTAGCCCCAGCCACAGCACAAGAGAAACAGAGAGGAACACAGCGTGTGCCCAACTGGATTCCTCAACACTCTCCATCTCTCATGGTCATTCACGGTTTCTGTCCTCTAAAGAGAGTTTAGAAAGCTCTGCCTCATTACGTGTTATCGTTACCAACACCAAATCCCCACTGTATCCAATGAAAGGGTGAGGTATGGTGGGACTGACCTCAATAATTATTGAGCTACAGTTGCGATTCTGATAAGGCAGTAAGTACTATAGACACATGATTTAGTAACGTTAACTCTTGAGAGCTCTAGTGTATCTCTTACCTGTGTATTCAGAAAATGGCTTATGTATTACTCCTAGCACAGGTTTACCATTCACAGCCACACACACCATAGTAGTGACATACTTTCGAAGATCCTCTAGGAGAAAAAAAAACACAGAAAACAAAAAACCCCAATAACATATGTTATTATTAAAGTAAGTAATTTTAAACTTTAGTTTTAAATTTGAAAATCAAGTTAAATACTTAGAATAGTCCCTGCACAAGAGAGGCGCTCACATTTACTATCACTATTATATAATCAGGCCAATCTCAGTTTAGGAAAAATTTTTATTAAAAAATCCCTCAATATTCTGTATTTCTACTACCTACTTCTGCAAAATATTTTCTAATTTCAGTTGCTATTAGACACCTAGTGTCTTCCTCCTGTTCTCCAAATAGTTACCTACTGAGTGTCTATTATGGGTCAATCAAGGTCAGTGCTTAAGGACTAGAACACAAAGATGAAAAAGTAGAAGGCCCACATTCAAAGAACTTATCATCTAGAAGGAGGGCACATAGATAAGCAATTACCTTTACTATATACACCAACAGAGCAGAGAAAAAGCAAGCATTGGATATCTCAGTGTAAGAAACAAGGCAAGAGAGAGGATCCACAGAAATGAAATCTGAGCTAGGCCTAGGTAACAATACAAACAAACAAAAAAGAAAATTCGGTGGGGGCAGTAATTCTCCATGTTGCCACTTACTTACCCCTGGATGCCTACGACTTACTATGCTGAATTCTAAAGATAAATGTATATGCAATAAACCCTCAATTCCTCAAATCACGAGTAAATATTATATTCTGGCTACATAAATAAATACCTGAATAATGTACACCTCAATATATAATAACTCAGTATGTAAACAAACACCTCAAGAAACAGGTGTCCAACAGGAACCATTTTGTTGTTGCGACTGATCAAAATGTCCTTTCACTGAAGGATCAGTGAGTGATATAGTGAATCACGACCACTAATGGGAGTATGCCATAATATAGTGGTTTTGGGGGGAGAAAAAGGTTGAGAATACCTGGGTCCATCCAAAGGTTTCACACCACACTGCATGAATCCAGCTCTCTGTCTTAAAACCTAATTGGAAAGGCTTGCGCCAAATTGGTAAAGTATTTACCCACCAAGAATATACCACCCGCCTTTGTTCTGATTCTCCAATATATAATGGCAATCTGAAGTCTAAAGTGAATTTTCATGTGAAGTCACCTGTATACTCCTGTGTAGCATCCAGTGGATCGATCCAGACAGTAACGCTTTCTGCTGGTACCTCCTTGGGGGTAGCGATTTCCTTCAGGATGTCCTCAGGAATCTTACGGTCCCATATGATAACCTCCTGATCAGCTGCATCTACATGTTCCTCAGTATTTATCTGCACCAAAAATAGATGACAGCTAAAACATTTAAAAAGAAGAAATACCCCCTCAGAAAACATGAGAGAGAGAAACTTCTCAGACCGAATCGCATCCACTGGAAGTCAGTAAATCCGTATGTTTGTTTTGAAGCATTTCGTTACAAAACGGAAAAATATAAAAAATTCCAGCAACATCTTGCCTTCAAGTACTATTTATTTAACTTAATATTCAAGTTTAGTTTATTGCCTCAGAGAATCCAAATATAGAGAAATATAGAGAAATTAATCATCAAAGAAACAAGCTATTTAAAGCTTAATGATATTTGTAAAAAACAACAGATCTAAAGTGTGAAAACAGATTGGCAATATTATGGAACACTGAACTGAACGCGGTAACTATAAGGAGGAGAAAAGTGACAATGGACTTGAAAGAAATATGCTTTAGAACAGATAATTCATGAATGCTAAGAGTCACAATGTCCTAGAAAAGTAATCATCTAAAATATAGCTTTGATCAATAGAAAAAAGAAACCTGGAAATAATGAAAACAGATAATAAGCTAGCATATTATAAAATATAAACAAGGCTGAAATGAGTAATCCAGACAGACAAAAAAGAGCCTTCTCTTCACTATACCAAAGGTAAGTCACAGGATAAAATGCTAAAGTCAAATTTTCTGTTTTTATTTACTAGGACACAAAATTAAAATATAAAATAAATCTGACTTCTATAAAAACGTAAAGGTATAGGGGAGTAGAGAACCACTGCTTTCAACAGTAAGCTTCTTAATGAATACTTAAAACATACTCTGCTTTGTAAAACAATGATTTAAATTAACGTATTACAGGGCCGCCTGGATGGCTCAGTTGGTTAAACGGACTTTGGCTCAGGCCATTATCTCGAGGTTGGTGAGTTCAAGCTCTGCATCTGGCTCTGTGCTGACAGCTCAGAGCCTGCAGCCTGCTTTGGATTCTGTGTCTCCCTCTCTCTCTGCCCTTCCCCTGCTCACGCTCTGTCTCTCTTTCTCTCTCAAAAATAAACAAATGCTTAAAAAATTAAAATTAATTTATTACATTTATATTTACTTTTGTAAATAATGACACACCTAAACGAGGCAAACTGAAGAACTGACTGCATTTTAAGAATTGGGTTAATAACAGACTGTCAACTTTATTCGTGTACTACCTTATCAGAAGACTTCCTCTATCAAATCATAACATCCACATGCAAGAAAAATGTCTCCAGAATGTGAATTTCCAGTAGGGATTAAGACTGAAGCGAGGCAGCCTTTTGGGTACTGTGCTTTCTGACAAGCTCCCTTTCCACAGCAGATCACTGTGTTTGTGCGGCACGTGGTGGCACACCCAGACCCCATACCACAGTGTCAGAGTGATGATAACACTGACAACTACATAAGTAAACAGTCACACACGATAAAAACCCTACAAATACCAGCAATCTCTGGAAAGTGCCTGAACTATCCCAAATTGTCGCAGAGAAAGCTAAAAACTGTAATATTCCAGAAAGAGCCACTTAAATCAAAAAAATATTTTTAATATAGTGTAAACATCCAATTCATCCATTCTCTTATCCCTTTAGTGATTCAGCAAATTTTACTGATTGCCTACTATATGCCAGGCAGTTCCCAGAACCGATGTACAACGGTGATCAACTTGAGACAAAAATCTCTGCCCCTGTGCCCCTTCGATTCTAGGGAAGGAGTTGAACAATGCACAAATGAGTGAAACAGGTGATATGCTGAATAGTGATAACAAGGAGATCTAAAATATAGCAGAGAAGCACCGGCAGCATGTTGTAGGAGAGCAGAAGGGTTACTGCTTAAGATAGGGTGGCCAGGATTTTTCATACTACCCTAAAATTACAAACTACCAAGTGTCCATCAACTGATGAATGGATAAACAAAATGTGGTACATCCATACAGTGGGATGCTATTCAGCCATAAAAAGAAATGAGATACAATTCATACTATAGCAAGGGTGAACCCCCAAAACATTAAGTGAAATAAGAAACAAGAGACCACATACTGGATGATTCCATTTAATGTGAAATGTCTGTAACATGCAAATCTATGGAGACAGTAGATCCGTGGTTGCCTGGGGTAGGGGTGGGAACACAGATGAGTAGTAATTGGGCACAGGGATATTAGTAGGGTGATGAAAACGTAACACTCATTAATGGCAATGGTTGTACAGCTCGGCAAATCTAGTAAAAACTAGTGAACTGGATATCTGCAATGGGCAAAGGATACTGATACGTAAAATCACGCTGCAATAAAGTTGTTTGTTTTCGAAGACAGGGTAGCTAAGGCAAAGGCGGTGTTAGAGTGAAGATTTAAAGGACGTGAGCCTCGCCAGGCATCTGAAGTTACATCCTTCCAGCCCACGGAGTAACAAATGCAAAGGCGGGAGGTGGGAGCCTGCTGGTATATTCAGAGCAAGGAGGCAAGTGCGGCCAGAGCAGAGTGAGCCCGGAAGAAGGAGCCGGAGGTAAGGGTGGCAATGGAAACCTGACGGTGAAGGACTCCGTCGGCACCTCACCGAATCAAGCTGCCCTCCATCATAACCTCTGCGAACAGCCTGCACAGCGTCCTAGCCGTTGCAGAACGCTGAGGGTGGCGAGCGTAGAGAGGCAAAGGGATAGAAAGGAAGAAGTCGTAACATGCAATTCATGACTTACTACTGAGAAAATCCAAAAGAACTTGTAGATAAATTATAGGATAACAGAACTTTCACAGCCAAGTCTCTAGGTACAAGATCGGTATTTAACAATCACTCGCATTTTTTACCAGCAACAGATACTAGCGACAGATATTAAAAAAAAAACAGATTTAACATAAAAATGGAAGCCATTTCAACTAACAAAAGAAGTAAATTATTTGGAAATAAATCTACCCAAGATGTGCAAAAACAGTACAGAGAAAATTAAACTGTATGAAAAAAATATTACTGAAAAACAACAAAGATGTCAATTCTCCCACCAGTAAACTATAGATTTAATGCAACTCCAATCGAAATCCCTATAATTTTTTTTTTCTTTCTTCTTTTTTTTAAACCGCTTCTTGGAAAAAGAACAAGGCATTTTGGTGACAGGGGCGGGAGAGGGAAATTATCATGGTGGGCTGACGTTCCTTACCAGTTATCAAGACTTACCTTAATGCCAGAAAAATTATGACTGTGGCACTGGTGACATATTTGGCTTTTCCCTGCAGCTTCACTGAGAAAGCTACACATACATATCAAGTGTGATGGCTTGATAGGTGGTAAAACAACTACCACAATCAAGTTAACTACTGCATCTATCAGTTGTTTTGTGGTGAGAATGCCTAAGATCTAGTTAAGATCTACTAAAATACAGTATCATTGACCACAGTCATCTTCCTATATATTTGAACCTCAGAACTTACTCATCTTAGTCATAACCACCAGTTTTACACCCTTAGACCGACACCTCCTCTCTTCCCTCATTCCCTAGTCTCTGGCAATCACCATTCTACTCACTGTTTCTAGGAGCTCAACATTTTTTTGGATTTTTTTTTAATGGCTTCTGCCATTAACATTCCATTGTGTGTGTGTGTGTGTGTGTGTGTGTGTCTATACTGATCCATCCATCAGTACTTATCCATCATTTCTGTATTTTGGCTACTGTAACTATTGCCACAATGAACACAGGAGTACAAATATCTCAAGATACTAATTACATTTAGATATATATCCAGAAGTGGGATTGCTAGATCATATGGTAGTTCTATTTTTAATTTCTTGAGGAACCTCCATAGTATTTCCATAATGGCTATGCCAATTTACATTCCCACCAATGGTATAAAAGGGCTCTCAGAATTTTCTCCACATGCTTGCTAACATTTACCTCTTGTCTATTTGATAATAGGCACCCTAACAGGTGAGGTTTAACATTTCAATTGTGGTTTTGATGTGTACTTCCCGGATGATTACTGATGTTGAACAACTTTTCATATAACTGACAGTTACTTGTAGGTCTTCTTGGGGAAGTATGTATTCAGGTCCTTTGTCCATTTTTAAACTGGATTACTTATTCTTTTGCTATTGAGTTGAATGCGTTCCTTATAGATTTTGGACTTTAGACCCTTATCAAAATACATGGTTTACAAATATTTTCTGCCATTCCATAGGTTGCCTTTTCCTTTAGTTGTTTCCTTTGCTGTGCACAGCTTTTAAACTTGATGTCATTTTCCTTGTTTATTTTTGCTTTTGATTTCTGTACTTTTAGTGTCTTTTCTAAAAAATCATTGCTCAGACCAGTATCAAAGAGCTTTATATCTCAGGTGTTACACTGAAATCTTGTATGCATTTTGAGTTAATTTCTGATGAGTGAGTGGTATAAGACAGGGATCCACTTTTATTCTTTTGCATATAGATAGCAGCTTTCCCAGCACCTTTATTGAGGAAGCTATCTTTTCCCAGTGGTATGCTCTTGATGCTTTGCCAAAGATGAGTTAAATGTACATGTGGGGATTTATTTCTCTATTCTATTCCTTTGGTTTACATGTACGTTTTATGCCACTACCACACTGTTTTGATTACGATCGCTTTGTAATTTGAAATCAGGAAATGGGATGCTTCCGGGTTTGTCCTTCTTGCTTAAAATTGCTTTAGCTACTTGGGTCGTTTGTGGTTCCACGTGAATTTTGGATTATTTTATCCCATTTCTTTAAAAAATGCCATTGGGATTTTGACAGGGGCTACATTAAATGTATACATTGCGTTGAGCAGTATGGGCAGTTTAACAATACTAATTCTTCCAATCCAGACATGCAATACCTTTCTGTTTATTTGTGTCTTCAATTAGTGTTTCATCAGTTTTTGGTATACAGGTCTTTCACCTCCTTGGTTAAACTTACTCCTAGCTACTTTATTGTTTTTGATGCTATTGTAAACAGAATGGTCTTCTTAAGTCCTCTTTCAAATAGTTCGTTGTTGCTAACATATAGAAATAATACAGGGGCGCCTGGGTGGCTTAGTCCACTGAGTGTCAGACTTTGGCTCCGGCCATGATCTCATGGTTCATGAGTTCGAGCCCCACGTTGGGCTCGCTGCTATCAGCTCAGAGCCAGCTTCGGATCCTCCGTGCCCCCCCTCCTGCCCCTCCCCTGCTCATGTGGTCTCTCAAAAATAAATAACACATTTAAAAGAAAAAGAAATAATTTTTGTTGACTTTGTATCCTGCAACTTTATTGAAGTATTAATATTAGTTGAACAATATTTTGCTAATAATATATTAGAGTTTTCTTTCATAATATCATGCCATCTGCAAACAATTTTACTTTGGATGCATTTTATGTCTTTTACTTACCTAATCGCTCTGGCTAGGGCTTCCAGTACAATGTTGAATGGGAGTGCTAAGCATGGGCATCCTTGCCTTTCTGATGTTAAAAGAAAGTTGTTAGATTTTCATGATTGAGTATCATGTTAGCTGTGGGCTGGTCACATATGGCCTTTATTATGTTGAGGTATATTCCTTCTATACCTACTTGGTTGAGAGTTTTTATAATGAAAAAGTGTTGAGTTCTGTCAAATGCTTTTTATATTTTTATTTTGAGATAATCACACAATTTTTGTCTTTCATTCTGTTGTGGCCTATCACATTGATTGATTTGCATATACTGAAACTATCCTTCATTCCTGGGATAAATCCCACTTGATCATGGTGTCTGATCCTTTTAATATGCTGTTGAGTTCAGTTTTTTAGTATTTTGTTGAGGATTTTTGGATGTATGTTCATGAGGAATAATGGCCTGTAATTTTTTCTTCTTATAGTGTCCCTGCATAGCTTTGGTATCAGGGTAATGCTGGCTTCATAAAGTGAGTTTGGAAGTGTTCCATTTTCAGTTTTGGGAAAGACTTTGAGAAGGATTGGTATTAATTTTTGTTTGGTAGAATTCACCAGTGAAGACATCTAGTCCTGGGATTTTCTTTATTGGGAAATTTGATTAAGGATTCAATCTCCTTACAGGTCTGTCCAGCTATTCTGTCTTCTTCATGATTCAGTCTTGGTAGGTTGTCTGTTTCTAGGAATTTATCCATTTCTTCTAAGTTACCAATTTGTTTACCTATAATTGTAGTGATCTCTTTTGATCATTTGTATATTGTAGCAATCAGTATGTAACGTAGCGGTTGTATGCTTTCATTTCTGAATTTATAGAAGATTCGAATCTTTTTATCTTTGACTAGCCAAAGGTTTGTTAATCTTCTCTTTTCAGAAGACCAGTTCTTAGCTGAAGTGTAGTGTAAGTCCATCATTTCCGTATTGATAATCTGTCTAGATATCTATCCATTGGTAAAAGTGCGGTACTGGGAGTCTCTACTACTACTGTGGCTTTGCTGTCTGTTTCCGTCCTCAGGTTTATAATATTTGCTCAATGTATTTAGTGCTGTGATGTTGGGTGCCTATGTATTTACAGCTGTCATATCCTCTTGATGAACTGACCCTTTTATCTCATTATATAATATCTTCTTTGCCCCTTGTTAGTTTTTTTACTTAAAGCCTATATTGTTTGATGCCATTATAGCTACCCTGTCCTCTTTGGGTTTCCATTTGCACGCGATACCTTTTTCCATTCCTTCACTCTGATCCTATGTGTGTCTTTAAAGCTTAAGTGTGTCTCTTGTAGGCAGCATACAGGTGAGTTTTTATTTTTGTTTTTTTTTAAATCCATTCACTTAACTGTTTTTTGATTGGAGAATTTAGTTCACCTACATTTCAAATAATTATTAGCAAATGTGGACTTGCTAATGCCACCTTGTTAATTGCTTTCTGGCTTTTTGTAGCTTCTTTGTTCTTTTCTTACTCTGTGGCTATCTTCCTTTGTGATCTGATGATACTCCACGGTGGTATGCTTTGATTCCCTTCTCTGTATCTTTTGTCTATCAGAGGTTTATACTTTGTGGTTACCATGAAACTTATGTATCTTATAGCTATAACAGTCTATTTTAAGTCAATAACTTAACTTTGATCCCATATAAACCCTTCCCTCTTTGCCTCCACAACATTTTATTTTTGATGCTGTAAGTTACACCTTTCTATACTGTGTATCCATTAACAAATTTTTGTAGCTCTATAGTTTTAAAAAACACTCCTCTTTTAACTTTTATATTAGAGTTAAGTGTCTTGTACACCACTATTACATTAGAATATTCTGAATTTAATTCTATACTTACCAGTGAATTTTATACTTTGTTTTCATGTTACTACTTAGATCCTTTCATTTCAGCTTGAAGAACTCCCTTTAACATTTCTTATAAGGCAGGTCTGGTGGTCAACTCCCTCTGGTTTTATTCGTCTGGGAAAATCCTGATCTAGTCTTCATTTCTGAAGGAGAGTGCTGCTAGGTAAAGTATTCTTGGTTGGCAGTTTTGTTTCGTTTTAACAGTTTCTTTCAGCACTCTGAACAAACATATCATCCCACTCTCTCCTGGCCTACAGGGTTTCTGATGAAATATTTGCTGATAGTCTGATGAGGGGTTCCCTTGTATCCAGTGAGTTTCTTTTCTCTTACTGCTTTCAAATTCGGTCTTTAATTTTTGACAGTTTTATTATTTTTTTTTCAACGTTTTTATTTATTTTTAGGACAGAGAGAGACAGAGCATGAACGGGGGAGGGGCAGAGAGAGAGGGAGACACAGAATCGGAAACAGGCTCCAGGCTCTGAGCCATCAGCCCAGAGCCTGATGCGGGGCTCGAACTCACGGACCGCGAGATCGTGACCTGGTTGAAGTCAGACGCTTAACCGACTGCGCCACCCAGGCGCCCCTGACAGTTTTATTATAATGTGTCTCAATAAAGTCCTCTTTGAGTTGAATTTTTGGACTTATGAACTTCATGTACCTGGATGTCACATTCTCTTCTCTAATTTGGGAAATTTTCAGCCACTATCATTTAAATAAACTTTCTGCTCTTTTCTCTGTCTCTCTTGGAGATTCCCAAAGTATGAAAAGTTACACTTGATGGTCCCCCATAATGCACACAAGTTTCTCACTCTTTTTAACTTCTGTCTCTGTTGTGTCTCCCCTTTTGTTCAAGTATTGCTTTCCTGATTTCTTTGAGTTGTCTGTGTCTCTTAAACTCACTGAGCTTCCTTAAAACAATTTTTTGAATTTGTTGACAGGCAATTTGTAGATCTCTGTTTCAGGAGGGTCAGTTACTAGAAAATTATATTCCTGTGGTAATGTTGTGCTTCATTCATTCATTCATTCATTCATTTTGTATTCCTTGAAGCCCTGCATCGCTGCCTTCACATTTAAAGAAGCAGTCACCTCCTCCAGTCTTTACTGATTGACTTTGTGAGAGTTATCTTCACCTTGAGTCTGATGGGGGATTCTAAGGCTTTCTCTAACATTTTCTACAGATATGCATTCTCCACACTTCTTGTTCCCTCTTGGAGGGTAAATTCTTAAGATTATAAGCTTTATCTCAATCCTTCAAAGCCAACCCAGGGACTAGGAGCCTCCCATTTGTCTTCTCTAGGGTGGTACTCTGAGATGCTCAAGTTTGTGAGCCTTTTCCCAATTCCGCAATTCTGCTGGCTTTCCGCACTTGTTTGTTGGCCATTTACAAAGGCTCAGTCTCGCTGTCTACGGGAGCACATGCTAAAATCACGCCAAGGTGGGCGAGAGGACCGGGTTTGGGCAAGACATGGAGAGTGTTGGGGGTGCCTGCGAGCCAGTTGAGGGGCCCTAATGGTGAGGACTCCCCAGCGACTCGTGGGCAGCCTTCCCGATGGGTGTCTACAAAGAGCATCCCTTTAGATGAGCCCTGGTTTATGTGTTCCCACAGCCTCTCCCAACCCCTCAGTCTTGCAGATCACTTCAGGGACATAGGTGACAAGAGACAGAAGTGGTTTCGTGGGCAGTGTCCTGCATGGCTGGCAAAGCCAGACACTCACTCACACATTCCTCTTGGTGAAATTGCAGGCTTCAGGGGGTCTCTCTTGGCACCGAGCTGTGCTGTCTTGAGAGACGGTGTGGTGAAAGTGAAGTGAAAACATTTCTCTCACTCTCATCAATGTATCTATTCTTTTTTTTTTTTTTTTTTTTTTTTGCCCCAATGGTGTGCTGGAACATCTCTGCTGGACTCCCAGATGCCCACAAAGGAACCCTTATCTGTGGATGACTACCAAAATCAATGTTCTGTGAGGGAATGACCGTAGAGAACTCCTATTCTACCATCTTGCAGGTATCACTTTAAAGTATTATAGCTTTAGGGCCCACATACTTAATGAGAACACAATTTAGTCTGTGTCAGATAAGGGAATGTAAGAGTAACACTAAACAACCGGGAAATGAAACTTTTAAAACAAGCAACAAATGTGCCTCCCAGAAAACACAAAGTAGTTTCTGGGTCTTGACCACCACAGCTTACAAAAATGGCAGTGCCGAGTGTGGTGTAACCACGGGAGCACTTTATGGGATGGAAGATTTCTGCCTAGAGTTCAAGCCAGCTTCTCCACATCCTTTCAAATGAGTATGGCCTAACAAAGTATGGGACTGCTTCTAAAAACATCTTCCCTGAGAGTCAGGTTAGGAAGAAACAAATGGAGCAAGAGAACAAGAACATCAGTCCGGTGTCCCCACCTGCTTCTGCACAACCGCTATTTGTAACCTGCTGCCACCATTACACACCCACAAACGGAATAAACCCACCATACGACATTGTCAGCGGCCTTAGAAAGAGTTGGTTAAGTTTATCTCAATTCTTTTCCACATTTCACCAGCCATTAAGTCCTGGAAACTCTACCCCCAGTTCTAAATACATGAAACTATGTATACCAAGCAAATCTTAGTTTAGGCCGCCATCTATCTCTCACTTGGATTTCCTTTTTTTTTTTTTTTTAACATTTATTGATTATTGAGAGACAGAGTCAGAGCATGAGCATGGGAGGGGCACAGAGCGGAGGAGACACAGAATACAAAGCAGGCTCCAAGTTCTGAGCTGTCAGCACAGAACCCGACACGGGGCTTGAACTCACAAACCGCGAGATCATGACCTGAGTGGAAGTCGGACGCCCAACCGACTGAGCCACCCAGGCCCCCCTCACTTGGATTTCTAAAATAGCCTTCAATTGCTCTTGCCTCCTACAGTGCATTCACAGATTCATTCATTCGTTCAACAGCTACTAATGGCCACGTATTGCAAACCACTATGGGTACTGGAACAGAAGAATGAACAAGATGGACAAAATCACTGCCGTTATGGAGCTTCCCCTTGCAACCCAGCAACCCGCCATCTTCCTAAATCAGATTCTCGTCACTCCCTGCTGAACACCTGTGGTTTCTCATTGCTCAGAGGTCAAATCCAGACTCCTTACCATCATCCACAAAGGTGCGGATGATCTGGCCCCAGTAACCTTTCTCTATTTGCATCCTTATTTACACTACACTCCAGACTTATCTTTTTCTGGTCCGTTGGCCTCAGGGCCTTTGTACTTTGTACTAGAAAATTATGTTCCTTTGGCAATGTTGTGTTTCCTTTATTTTTTCTCTTCTGCTCATGCACACTTTTCTCAAATCTCTGCAGGATTGTCTGTTTCTTATCCTTCAGACCTCAAATGACAGTGCCTCTCAGTGGTCTGCCCTGACCATCATGGCCAAAGCAGAAGCCCCACTCACTCTTCTGACATGGTCTTATTTTTTCTTCTTCAAAACCCTTATCAGTATCTGAAATAAATTATTTGATCACAGGTGTACTACAGATCTCGACCTACCGGAACATAAGTTGTATGAGTTCAAGGACACAATTTCCTTCATTACTGGAGCCTAAACCAGTCCCTAGTACAGTAGGTGTTAAATAAATACTTCTGAGTTGACAACATTATTCTTTGCCAATATACTTACATTTCTTCCCCCAAAACCCTTTCCATTCAATCTACTCTCCCTCCGTCATTGCTACTGCCTCTCTGTCTCAGTCCTCAACAGGAATTGTAGAATAGGAAATCAAGACTCCAAAACACAATTAAAGCTATTCATATGAAAGCTCAGTTACTTTGGGGCTGCAGAGGATTTTGGTTAATGTCCTAAGAAGACACCATTCACTACATTTTTCCATGAATCATTATATCCTAAAATGTTTTTACATATAGTGCCTCACACTGTGCCTGTCACATAGAAGGCATTCAACAACTATTTTCTAGACGGAGAAACATGGCTCTACCTGTCTTCTTCAACCTTTTCAGAAGTTTTTTACTATCAATACCATCTTTCAGATATATATCCATAAATAATTAAACACGCTCTATCGTCTGTCTCACACCTTAAAAACAATACCAGAAAAAAATCCATAGAAACTTCTCTTAGTCCCATAGAAGACCCCAGCCAAGCTCCTTAGGAGTCCAATTTCTTGAAAGCCTTGTCTTTACTATCTCCATTTTTTTTTTTTACCTCCCATCTTTTTCAGTTTTGCTTCCTTTCCATCAAGCCACCAAGCAAGTTCTCACAAAGTTCACCAGTGACCATTCACCACACAGAACCACTATTAAGAGTATGTGTTCGGCGGGGGGGGGGGGGAAGATTGCCAGCTCCTCAATTTCTTGGGCATGTGACTTTATCCAGGTTGCTCCCCTAAGCTTTCTGAGCTGCTAAAAGTGAATGATAAACACATCTCCCTACAGGGTTCTTTGGGTGAATAAATGAAACAGAATAGGTAAAACAAACAAACTTAGTATAGTGCTTAACACTGAGTAAGCACTGAATAAAAGCTGGATGCTATTATTCTTGTTAAATGATTATTTTCAATCTGCGTTATCCTTGGCTGTAGGCCCTTGATCTTCCCCTTTCACAATATAGTCTTTCCATAAGCAATCCTGTCCACAACAGCTTTCAATTAACATCACAACACTGATGACTCACAAATTCCTATTTCCAATTCCGATGTGTCTTCAGAGCTTCAGACCGATATATTCGACTACCTCCTTAACATGTCCCCTCGGCCATATCAAAGGCAACTCTAACTTCAAACGTCAAAGAGGGCACTCATAATATGCCCCCTTTGACTTGTCATCGCCCACTCTTCAAAACCAACTGTGAAAATCAGATATAAAGGGGTCGTTTTCGGAACATCCTTAGAAATTCTCTCGTATCTTTCCAATTCGCTCTTTTCTGTGACCACAGCAATTTAAAATGTATCATCTCTCACTAGAGAAAACCTCCTAGCTGGTTTACCCCCTCCAAACGATTCTCCAAGTGTCTCCCCTGAGCTCTACTAATCATTCAAAGCACTATAGGTTAAGAATACACTGTGGTTATACCTCCTATATTGCCTTATCTACAGAATTAAATGGACCTGAGATGACTCTCAGATCACTAAGTCAATCTCTGAGAGGCTAAAATTATCTTCTAATTGTGTAACGCTTGGTAAATTAGTTATCCTCTCCAAGCCTCAATTTCTTTATCTGCAGAATGGGGGCAATAGTACTTAACTTCCTATGTCGTCGTCAAGAGTAAATTAACCGCGGTAATACAAAGGCTTGCTTACTGAGGACTGACTAAACGTTAGCCAGGAAACCAAGCTGAGTATAACTTTCCTTTTAGCTGAGTTCTGGTCCTCATCTCTTGCACAGCCTGTTTTAACATACTTCTAACTGGTCTCACCCACCTCCAAATGGCCACAGCTCAAACCAAGTATGGCATGTTGCAGGCTTCAAGAAAAGTCAGGTAAATCTGGCCCTCTTAGTACTTTAGGATTAAACTAAAGATTAGCTCCAACCCTCTTTGAGTGAACTCGCCATGTGATTACCTTCCTAATTTCTTCCACAGTGATTTCCCCAAGTGCATCAGATTCAGACTCATCAGGGTACTGGAATTTACTATCCTACTACCTCTACTGGGCCAGCTCCTTTCAACTTGTATTTTTTTCTGTCTGCAGTGCTTATGTCTGCACTAATTATCAAATTTACTAGTTATCTAGATTTTACAGAAGGGGAACTGCAGCTCAGAGATGTGAAATGACTGGCCAGGATGACACAGGCAGGTGACTGGACAAGATGTCAAGTCAAGTGTTCTTAGCACTGTATTAAGCTTCTCAAACTTTTCCAGTGAGTACTGCTGTTGAGAGAAGAGTTTAACTCCCATCTTAAAGGTCAAGGAAGCACAGGCCCAAGACTCCTATCAGATTGGAGTAGCATGCCCGATCTTCAAATAAAATGAATCATCGTCAAAAACTGAACAAGTTGGGGTGCCTGGCTGGCTTAAGTCAGTCGAGCGTCCGACTCCGGCTCAGGTCATGATGTCATGGTTCACGAGTTCAAGCCCCGCGTCAGGTTCGCTGCGATCAGTGCAGAGCCTGCTTTGAGTCCTCTGTCCCCCTCTCTCTCCGCCCCTCCCCAGCTCATGCTCTCTCTCTCTCAAAAATAAATAAAACGTTAAAAAAACAAAGAACAAAAAACACTTTGAACAAGGAAAGTTGAGGACAGGAGCCTTTCAAATACAGAGTTCCCTGTATAGTACATTGAAACTATAAATCTAAGTGTGTCTGTTCTGTAGCTGCAAATCCACTCCAGAAAACTATCTCCAGCCCTCCTTTTCGTCACCATCCAGAAGAATATAATGAAAGTGCCACACAAATGGCTGCAGTTGCTAGTATTTTCACATAATAAAATCAAGCACGGCCCATGCGTTTAAGAAGAGAAGAAAGGTTGCCTGGGGACTCTCCCAAGATCCCTGACGTAAGAAAGGCTGCACACCAAAGGAAATCCGGGGCTCCCAGCCCAAACTGGAGTTTTCTTAGGATAACACTCACTTCTCTAGAGCAGGGTTTCTCAACCCTGGCCCCAACTGAAAAATTAGGCTACGTCATTCTCTGTTACGGAGAGCTGTCCTATGCATTGTGGGATGTTTACGGTCTACCTACTAGAGGCCAAGTAGCATTCCACCTCCAGCTGTCATAACCAAAAATCTCCAGACTATGCCAAATGTCCCGAGGGCAAAACTACCCCCACATGCGTATTCTAGAGTGACACGTGGTATATCCTTGTATGAGGAATAAACGTGAGATAGGAAAGCTCAAGCCTCGGACTCCAGACAGGAAAAGTGTGGTAAAAAGTAAGAGACCTCTCTCTATTTGCACAGGGCATCAGGATAAAAGAAGAAAGCATCTGTGGCTGATCAATGCTAATTTTCCCCAAGGAAGTAAACGGAGTGGGACTGGACTTAAAATCATTACCCCCCAAAAATCCAGGTGAGGCTTCAAAACCAACCTTCCGGGTGCTGGGGGACGATGAGAGGGGAAAAAGGAATCCAGGGCTGAGTGTCTACATAGATGGCTGTAACATTTGGCCTCCAGTCTTAACCCAGTGATCAAAGGCTGTTCAAGAGGACACCACGTGGCAAGAGGACAAGTAGGACATGTCCAACATTCTACTTGGACATTGTAGAAATAAATGTGACCTCCTCGACACCAGCAAAAGCCCAACACTAGAGGTGAACGTGTGAATATTCAGTCACAAGAAAACAAAAAGCTACTTTACGTGGAGGCAGAGCCCTCAACATCTGCACTTCTGAAAGCCTGGCTTTTGTGTTCAATAAAATGCAGCATTACCACTTGGCAGCCATTCCCTTTGCGTTTGCTAAGAAGCGAGAAAACAAATGCAGAATCCTGTGGAAGTTCCCCAAAGCAGAAGGTTTGGTTCACACGTGAACACACATGGGCACGCAGGTACGTGTTTTTGGTATTTAAGAATGTTGTCGTCTTCATCTTCAAAAAAACAAATTTCAACTCTGTTTGATATATTTTGTTACCATGGCTTCTAATCTTCTACAAGTTTAGGTTTTCCCTAGGGAATTGCGCTGTAAGTTTTAAACAGCCTCCGAAAGATCTAGCTAAAAATGAAGCATTCGATAGTTCATATAAACCATGGAGTGTTGCGAGCCCCACATTCCCGTCTGCAAACTGGCCATCGATAAAATTTACTTCCTAAAGTTGCTGTCAGGATCCAAAGGAGTCCTGCGTGCCATTATCTGGGTGCCTAAAATAAATTCAAGACATGGTCACCATTTCTACTGATGTAACTATTCTGCATCAACTTCTATGAAACTCCTCTGTTTATTCGACAAACTCTTAAGAGAATACTGTGTGTCTTGGAGAAAAGATATCCTACCGGCGGATCCTACATACGCAAGGTACACGTATCTGTACAAACCCAAGATAAGTATTGTTTGTGATGATAAAGCAGGGTAGGACAAAAGAAGAATAAACGTTCTGTGTCTTGTTTGAGAATTCTTGTGTCAATAACATCTGGTAGCCAGCGGCTCATGACACGAAGCCAATGTTCCTTCCCCCTGAAAAAAAAATTTTTTTTTTAAAGGAAAGAAAAAAAAAAGGCAGTAAGAAAAAAATGACAGATGGAAAGAGGAAAAAAGAGAACCCAAGC